GGAAAATAATATCACTTTTTCATTTAAAAAAATGTAATGGCTCTGTTATTTATGTATTATTTATACTACATTGCAGAAACTACACACAGCGCACATTAAGAAGTTGGTACTGAGTGTTTATAAGTAATCACTAATAGAACTATTTTCAGTTACACGCAGGAAGAGTTACCGCTAATACCCGGAAAATGTCCGTATTACAAATGCTCTGTAGCAGCTGCAATTTAACTGTGCAGAAAAATATATAGTTTCACAGAGAATGAAGAAGTTCCAAGGGAAACTATTTTAGCAACGGAACACATACTACACTCTAAAAATTTTTTAGATGATTACACTGATTTAGAGTCACTTCCTGAAGATCCACACTGGAGTAGAAAAGTTTTTTTGGATCAAGTAAATGAATTTATGTAAGTACAGCTTACATAAGGTAATAATATTTTGTATTAATCTTAATAAACTTTTTTTACAAATAACTTTTTTTAGAAAAAAAATAGATAAGAATAATAGTTTCTTGTTCATGACCTTCCGAATTTGTTGCGTGGCACTCCTGTACCTGTGGCAGAAATGTGGTGGCAGCAAGATGGCTGCCCAGCGCATAATAGTGCACTCACCACAGATCAATTGAATGACATTTTCCCACGTCACTGGATAGGAACAAATGGACCTCGTGCATGGCCTCCAACAAGTCCAGATTCAACACCCTTAGATTTTTGGTTATGGGGTGTGTTGAAAGAACGATGCTACCAGACTCCCGCAACAACACCGGAAAACATGATCGAGAGGATACGACGGGAATGCACAGCAATAACTCCAGCTGAAATTCGCAGAATTATTATGAATATCGACAAGAGGTTGCGATGTCTCATAGAGCAACAGGGCAATAAATTTGAACAGTGCCTTTAAAGCTTAAAATTTTCTCATTAGTTTCTTTTGATTTTTGTTTTAATTTATCAATGCTTTCATTGTAAAAGTTTATGGCTAATACCGCTGTCAGTGGCTCAGAGAGTATAAGTTTCTATATTATATGATGTATGTAAACCCAATGCTACTTATTTCATTACTAATAAATTGTTATTTTGTTAAACTTTGAATATAGTAGTTTTCGTAACAAGTGCGTAAGGTACTATTTTATACGCGAGTTGTGATAAATCACGCAGGATGATATTTAGACAAATAATATCACACCGTACGGAGTCAATTTAGCCGTGATATGTTTCGTACACATATCAAATACATGCTCTGTTTTATTTTTCGTATGACTGTCGTTCTGCGTGATTGTCTTCATATTCGCAGATAGCCATGATATTTTTCGTATTACTACATGCGCTGTGATTGCTTTCGTGTGAAGTCTCAAGTTGGAATTCTTTTTGATTAACTAAAGATGATGTGCCTTTTTTTCTCTAAGCAAAATTTACCGTGATTTACACATATATATAACAATTAATTAACAAAATTCGAAACAATCTATTTTATTAGAAAAAATGTGCAAAATCATGAACGCTGGCTATTTGGCTTTAAAGTCTGATCAAATTTGCACCCAGAACTTTTAATTTTAATGATAATAATAACCAAAGTACACACGGGGATCTTTTTTTCTTGTTCGAGGTATGCTTTCTTCGCAAGTATAAACAATTTCACGATTTATTCGATCCGGTATTTACAGCCTATTACGGTAGGAAAGATGAAAAAATACTTTTGAATCAGAAAAAGCATGAAGAAGAGTGATAAAGCAAGAAAATGAGCGCGAAGAATACACTTAGCACCACAAGTCACTACATAAAAAGAGAATTTCACTAGTAAAACGTAGTTGCTGATCTTTCTTCGGCTGCATAAATAATATAACGCAGTTGGCGAAACGGAGAAAAAGAGGTCAGCCACTGGCTTCTTTCTGCGACCGTAAGCGAGCGTGTAGCCTCTTGGGGGCTAATTTGAAACCGATGAATTTGAATAGAAGTACCTACTACGCAGGGAACCAATTGAAATAATAGAGTTCTAGTAGCGCTGTGCTCAGCAGAGATCGCCTACACTTGTATACTGTCCAATCATTATGATAAATTAGGTACCACGCAGTAGTATAAACTCGACACAGTCAGACGCAGAATAAATAGACTTTTCATAGTGATTGCACTCGTGATATTAACAATAGATTTTATAGCTTTATAAAGAGATAATTATTTACTGTCGTTGAATCATCTCTTCACTGGCAGACTTCTTCAACTCGTGATTCTGGGGCTGTTTCAAGCTTGCCTTTATTTTTATAGTTATGTTTCTTGCGGTTTGTATGGAATCATAAATTTTTTATTACATCTCGCGTTTCTGTGTATACACTAATACAAACATTTTTCACGTTTATCGTAAATATGAGGCCATTATTGCTAATAATTATAAGTTCCAATTACTTAATAAAAATTTAAATCTGAATTGAATATTAGCGGCATCATCCATTCTTCTATTTATTTGTACATTTATAAGAAAACTGCCATTTGTTCGAATTATAAACAGTAAAACAAAGTTGACAAACAGTTGTCGTGGTAACAATATTTAATACATCACAGTTGAAAATTTTTATAGTCCAACATCGACCCATGAAGCATTGTGAGCTTGGTTCACAACCATACGAAAAAAACTGAGTAAGTCGTTCCATGCAAATTAAAGATGCCACTCGATGCAAACTTGGATAGCTGTTATTTCATTAAGAATCGTGATAGACTTCTAAAACTCATCAAATTCTTAAAAGATCATCCGGAAGTAAATGATCAGGATATTCTAGTCAAAGCAACCCAGCAAAGAATAACAGAAGGACTAGGACTTCGAGACACATACAATGTCTCTGCAATGGCCTGTATTGCAAGTTTTATTGAAAGTTTTGGAGGAGTGAATTATTTTTGCACAGAAGCAATTGAAATGATAGCAGGTCATAGAGCTGTGGCTGTATTTATCATATAGTGAGTANGCGCACATTAAGAAGTTGGTACTGAGTGTTTATAAGTAATCACTAATAGAACTATTTTCAGTTACACGCAGGAAGAGTTACCGCTAATACCCGGAAAATGTCCGTATTACAAATGCTCTGTAGCAGCTGCAATTTAACTGTGCAGAAAAATATATAGTTTCACAGAGAATGAAGAAGTTCCAAGGGAAACTATTTTAGCAACGGAACACATACTACACTCTAAAAATTTTTTAGATGATTACACTGATTTAGAGTCACTTCCTGAAGATCCACACTGGAGTAGAAAAGTTTTTTTGGATCAAGTAAATGAATTTATGTAAGTACAGCTTACATAAGGTAATAATATTTTGTATTAATCTTAATAAACTTTTTTTACAAATAACTTTTTTTAGAAAAAAAACAGATAAGAATAATAAATAAATAGATATTTTAACTTTTCTTTTAGAGAGCAGCAGATTTTATTTGACAGAAAGAAAAAAGAGAGGA